TAAAATGGAAAGCTCAGGGTTTGTGGAGAACCGTCAATATATAAGGTTCACAGCAATGGACCAAGACTCCCAGTGTCCACCTCTACAGGCACACACACAGATGCGCACACACAGGTGCATACATGTCGTAGGAGACCTCTATTTTGTTCCCCGCTGCTCAGACTAGTAACAATCGCCCAGAAACCATATCATTTGCAATACTGTTTGGCCAATAGTTTAAGCATATTTCTGACTAACTCATATCTTAAATTAACCCATCTCCATTAATCTGTGTATCACCATGAGACTGTGACTTACCAGATAAAGTTCCAGTATCTGTCTCTATCAGGGCTACATGGCATCTCTCTGACTCTGCCCTCTTTCTCCCAGCATTAAGTTTAGTTTTCCCTGCCTAGCTAAGTTCTGCCTTGTTATAGGCCAAAGCGGTTTCTTTATTCATTAACCAGTAAGAGCAACACATAGACAGAAGGACCTCCCACATCATTTCCCCTTTTCTGTTTAAATAAAATGAGTGCATGCACACACATACGGGTGCACAGCCATATTGACACATGCGTGTGCACACACAGACACACACACATATGCACACACAACTGCATCTATGCCCCCACACAACATGAAAATCATATACAACACATATACATATACCAAAAAAGTAAATAGATTTCAATATTTAAAAGAAAAGATTAGAATGGGAATGTTTCCTCTGCACCATTGTATGGTTGGAAACATAGGACACATTTTTTACTTCAGAGGGGCTCATTCTTAAGAGACTGACTTGAGATAAGGGAGATGGCTCAGATACTAATGTGTTTCTCATGAGGACATGAGGACCCTAGTTTGGATCTATGGCACCAATGTAAATGTCAGGCAGGCATAAGGGCCTGCCTGTAATCCCAGCACTTAGGAAGTGAAGAAGGAGCCCTCTGGAGCAAGGTGACTAGTTAGACTAGTCAGAATGGTGAATTCTGGGTTAAGTTAGAGACCCTAGTTCAAAGACAAGATGAAGAGTAACTGAGGAAAACTCCTGGTACCAGCCTCTGGTCTCCACACACACACCTACATACACAGTTCCATACACACACACACATGCACATGGGAGCACACACGTGCACACACATACACAGAGACACGAGCAAAAACAGAAACAAGACAGAGAGCCTTGGGTCTTAGAGGTGACTTGGGATTTTTAAATAGTGTCAGAACTGTTAAAAAGCCTTTGAGAACATTCAAAGGTGGACGAAATACATTTGCATTATGAGATGAAAATGAGATTTCAGGGGCCCAGGATGGGATATTATGATAAAAACTAGGCGTTTGGGTGACAAGAGGTGGAGTTATAATGTCAGTCTTCACTGTTAGCTCGACTGTATTTAGAATTGTCATGGGTTCGGCCCCTGTTAAGGCTGTGCCTGAGGCTCTCGGCCACAAGGACCTGCACAGTCTTAGTTAGGGGACACCAAAGTCCAGGTGATGCGGTGGAGGCGCCTTCTTAAGGACGTACCTTTGACTTTTCCCGATGACTTGCAGGTGCACACATCTCTGGGGGCCTGGAACTACTCCCCTGGGCCCAAAGGGCCTCTTGAGAGCCTTATCCGACAGTCAGGACCTGCAATGGGCATCAGAATAATCAAAGCAACAGGCCCTGTGCTTCATCATCCTCTCACAGCCCCGCCCTTCCCTCCCCCTCCCACACCAGCCTTGCCTGAGCTTGCAGTCCCAGACAGGTTACAAGAAGACAACAGCTCCTCTCCTCGAGCTGCTAACCTGCCATGTCAATTTCACCAGTTAATAAATGACTGGAGAAGGCTTAATTGCATCGGAAGAAATTGACAGCAGGTGCTCAGGCCCCACTCAGTTAATTTGTGTTCCTAGGGGGGGGTGGAGCCATTAATTACATGCCTGGGTGCAGCTGCATCCTGTCATTCTCTTCCTAAGTCACCCAGGGAGTGAGTGAGGGACCCCTGCTGTTGGTAAGGGGCCCCTTCTGAGAGAGCAGGGACCTCTGGACTGATGGAAAGTGGCTTTTAGTGTCCCTCCCTGTCTGTGCTAAAAGAATGTCATCCTCTAAGACCTACGTCCTGACTTCCTCACCGGCTCTCTGATGATGGACCACTGGCTCTTCTGACGACCCACATCCAGACTGCTAGTGGACTTGGCCCCAAAGACACAGAACCTGGAGCCAGTCTTGACATGGGAACCAGATGATACCACCAACTCTGCAAGGTCACCCCTCCTACACACTTCCCATGCCACCCTGCTGCCTCCCAAAGATCTTCATTCCTCTGCCACTTCCCCCAAAGGGCCAGACGGTCAGACACAAACCTGGTACAACACAGACTCCCGCGCCGGCCCAGCCACTATGGATGTGGCTCTGGGGCGTTCGGGGTCTCTGTTTCTTAACGTGTGGCTCAGCTGGTTGTTACTGTCAATCTGTTTCAAGAAAGTACTCCAGGGGGCGCCTCGGCATTTCTGGAAGGAGAGACAGAGGGGAACAGAGTCAGGATGCTCCACTCTCAGGGCCTCTCCCGGTCTGTCTGTCTCTGCCTTGCTGTGTGTGATTAAGCAAGTTACTCAGCCCCTCTGAACTTGGCTTCTTATTAAATAAGATATCGGGGACAACCCTCATGGAGTTTTTACATTTCCATGAACTGTTTTTCTAAAGTGAAAATCTCGGGAGCGGGTAACTACAGAAAGAGGGATGGCCGGGACCTCTCCAGCCACTTCCGCCTGAGCAGACAAACCGGAGGCAAAGCAATACCATCAGACTGGAGGGTGCTGACGGCTCGGGACTGGCACTCTGAAGTCTGTAAAAACACAAGCAACTCTCTTCTGAGAATAAATTGAACAGCAGTCGGATCAGCCCAAGGTGTGGTTTGACTTGACTGTTAGTTTTGTTTAGAGGGGAAGGGGAGAGATTTCCCCACTGACTATTTAAAAAGGATTCTCAAAAAACATTTTTTGAGCAAAACCCACATAGCACACTTGTTTAACAAATCAATTACCTTTATTTTATCGTAGATGTGTGTGTGTGTGTGTGTGTGTGTGTGTGTGTGTGTTCCTGTGGGTTCATGGCTTTCATTTTCACTACCTTGCCAGGGTAGTGTGCACTTTTATTGGCTAAAGAACTGAGAGGAGCTTAAACTTGGCTCTTGCCTCTGTGCATTTGAGAGCAGCCATGAGTCTCCCTAAGCCCCTGCAAGCTCACCAGCTCCATTCCAGGGGCCCCTGGCAACTCCTTGCCTAGCCCTTAGGTATCACCTGGCTTCTTTTGTTGGGACTATCTCATTAATGGCACTACAGGTCCAGAACATTGGGCCGGCCACAGCTTCTATCCCACAGGGGCAGGAAGGAGGCATTCATAGCTCAGCAATCGCTCTGCCAGAGAGCTTCTAGGTTCTTCACCAAATTGCTGGTTGATGTGGGAGTGATTTCTTATTAATAAAGAAACTGCCTAGGCCCATTTCATAGGCCAACCCTTAGGTAGGTGGAGAAAACAGAGCAGAATGCTGGGAGAAAGAAACTGAGTCAGTGAGTCACCATGATTCTCCCACTCCAGGCAGACACAGGTTAAGATCATTCCTGGTAAGCCAGCTCGTGGGCTACACAGATTATAAGAAATGGGCTAGTCCAGGTGCGAGAGTTAGCCGAGAAAAGGCTAGATATAATGGGCCAAGCGGTGTTTAAAAGAATACAGTTTCCGTGTAATTATTTCGGGTAAAGCTAGCCGTGAGGGCGGCTGGGTGCCAGGGACACAGCCCGCCGCTCCTATTTCAACAGCTGGTCCATCTTATTTGTGTGGAGTGTGGGTCTGGATGCTGAAAACAACTCCTTCTGTTTCCACTGTACATTTTTCACATGGTGGGAATGGGGGACCTGTCCCCAATGCTCTGTGGTCTTCTGACTTCCATGAATATGATTTGAAATCTCACTCCAAATTCAGTTCCCAGCTTGAGCCTGGGCAAAGCCCGGCCAGATGAAGCCCCCAACATAGCAGCTTACTGCAAAAAGCCAGCCAGGAGGGAGTTAGCTAGTGAAACAAGTCCAATCTTGACCCTGTCCATAGATGGGATCGCCTATTACCTTTCAAACCTGACTTACCATTCAGAGAGTGAGAACATCCTTGAGAAAAGAAAGCCCGGTTACCTGTGGTGGTTTGAAAGAAAATGGCCACCAAGGGGAGTGGCACTATTAGGAGGTGTGGCCTTGTTGGAGGAAGTGTGTAACTGTGGGGGCGAGCTTTGAGGTCTCTTTTGCTCAAGCTTCCCTCAGTGTGGCAATCAGTTCACTTCCTGTTGCCTGCAAGATGTAGCACTCTCAGTTCCAGCACTATGTCTGCCTGTACACCACCATGCTCCCTGTCATTATGATAATGGACTGAACTCTGAAACTGTGAGTCACCCAATTAAATGTTTTCTTTATAAGAGCTGCTGTGGTCATGGTGTCCCTTCACAGCAATAGAGAACCCTAACAAAGGTAGTATGCATGGCATCAGGGGCAGAAATTACCCCGATCAGAGAGGAAGGTAATGTGTGGACTGGGTCACTCTAGAGGTCCACACATCCCCTGTCATCTTTTCCCAAGTTCTGCTCCCAAGTCCTACTGGTTAGGCACCAATCCTTGACCTCCAGCTTCTGGGGGTAGAGAAGCCAAGGGTCCTCAGTGTGTCCTTTCAGAAAGTGGTTCTGTGGTGTCACTAATGACTAGATCCCCTCCCAGCACACTTGAGCTGAGCTGAGCTGAGCATCACACACAGAGCACACACTTGAGTTCCCAAGACGTAGATGGGATCCTGTCCCCCTGAGGCTCTTGCCCCAGGCACCCTTGCCCAGTGTTATACTGCTGCACTGGACAGGGGTTATAGTGATACAGCAGTGATCAAAGAAGAAAATGAGTCTGGGATGGGATGGAATATGATCTTCCAAGTCTTGAAGATCTCCTAGCTTATCTGACCATTCAAATCCACATATAACTCCCACTAACTCCCCCTTCTTCTCTAGCAGGGACTGATGATGCCCTTGGCCATGATACACCCCCAGCTGCTATCTGCTTATGTTCAGCCTGCATGACTGAGCCACCGCTGCTCCAGCTCTTTCCTGTGAGTATAAGGCGCAGGCCAAAGCTTTCATTCCCAGAAGTATCGGCACTCCAGGCGGGAAGATGGGTGTAGTGGGAGTGTTATAAAACCTGGACTCAGAGCCCAGACCCGCAGAATTCTTCATCTTTGCTGACTCCAGTATCTTGGGTTGGCCGCCACTGAGTTGCTCTGCCCCAGATCTGAAAGGACTTGGGTGAGAACACAGGAACTTTGTTCTCCTTCTCACGAAGCTACTCAAGAGGCAGAAGTTTTGATAGAAATCCACACCACTAGCCCTGAAGTCCTGGCTCAGACACTTGCTACCCTGTGACTTCAGAGAGGTCTCTGAGAAGTCGGGCCTCTCCGCCCGTGTCATCGGACTTTTTGGTAATGTCCAAGAAGGTGTATTAGTTGCTCTTTTTGCTGTGAAGCAAACTTAACAGCTTAAAACAACACCCAGAGAACCCCCCCCCCAGAGTCTCTGTGAGTCAGGAATCCTGTGGTGGAGAGCTGAGTCTATTACTTCAGTATCTATCAAGAGGTTGCATTTGAGGCATGGGCTGGGGTGGTGGTTTCATCTGAAAGCTTGAATGGATGGGTAGGAAACAGACTTGTTTCTGATCTCACTGTGTGATGCTGTAATGGTTCTGTTACTTCTGGGCCATGGACTAAGGGCCTCAGTTTCCAGCTTTCTATTGGCCACAGTCCACCTGCAATGCCTGGATCTCCCAACATAACAGCTCATTGCAGCAAAGACAAAGAGTTGCCTCATGAAAAAAAAAAAAAAAAAAAAAACGAATCCTGAACCTGCCCATAGAAGTGACTTTTCATTACCTTTGCTACTTTTTTGCTGGTTAGAAGCAAGTCGTGGGCTACATCCACACAGTTAGTGAGAACAGCATACAAGGCGTGGGTGCCAGGGATGGGGATTACTGGGGGTCTCCTCTAAGTCTGCCAACAATAAGAGGGAATATGCCTGGTAAGTTGTACCATGCTATTTATAAGTATAAAGATTTACCATTACCATTTGGATCTAATTGCAAAAAGGGAAATGATCCTACCTGAAATAATAGGGAACCATTAAGTGTGGGAATTTAAGGGCCAAATTGTACTGTTAGTACCGGGTCCTGGGGAAATGGACTAAGCCTGCTTAGCTCATCTTACACATCTCATGCATGCCTTCCCGGCTTACAAAGGTGCATATATGCAGCCAGGAAATGCCTGAGCCTTCTCCCCCCTCCACTCACATAACCATGCTGGGTATGGTCTTTAAAAATATAAAAGGGTGGCCGGGCGGTGGTGGCGCATGCCTTTAATCCCAGCACTCGGGAGGCAGAGGCAGGCGGATCTCTGTGAGTTCGAGACCAGCCTGGTCTACAAGAGCTAGTTCCAGGACAGGCTCCAAAACCACAGAGAAACCCTGTCTCGAAAAACCAAAAAAAAAAAAAAAATATATATATATATATATATAAAAGGGTGCCAGACATGGTAGCACACACCTAATCCCAACTTAGGGAGGCAGTGGCAGGCAGATCTCTGTGAGTTCAAGGCCAGCCTAGCTTACGTGATGAGCTCCAGGGCAGACTGAGCTACACGGTGAGACCCTGTCTCAAACAAACAATATATACACATACACACATTCGCACTGGCAACCCCAGTACTTAGGAGACTGAGACAGAGAATTGCTGAGAGTTGGAAGCCATTCTGGGTTACACAGTGAGTTCTGGGAAAGCATGGGTAATAGGATGAGACCCTATGTCTAAAATTAAAAACAAAAAGCAAAACCAACAAACTTGTATGAAAGATGCATGTGAGATATCCCACTTTCTCCTCATTGGCAAGGGTTTCTGCGTGTGTCAGTTTTCCAAGGCAGAACGGTCAATGTCCAAGATGAAGTATCTGTGTAGGTAGGACACAGCCATCAGATGGTGGCTTCTTCCTCCAGCCCATTTTAAGACACTGCTACTGGGGCTGGAGAGATGGCTCAGAGGTTAAGAGCATTGCCCGCTCTTCCAAAGGTCCTGAGTTTAATTCCCAGCAACCACATGGTGGCTCACAGCCATCTGTAATGGGGTCTGGTACCCTCTTCGGGCCTGCAGGCATACACACAGACAGAATATTGTATACATACTAAATAAATAAATAAATATATATATTTTTTAAAAAGACACTACTACTGTATAGCCCCCTAAAACTGAAAGAGGGAAGACCAGGGTGTAAGTCGGGGAGGGAGATGCTGTTCTTACAAGGCTTTCCCATAAGCCCCTGTCTGCTGAAACATCCCAGTGGAGGGGGCTAAGGCTTTCAAAGTCAGTGTGGTGGCTCCACACCGGCCGTACCAGCACTTGAGAGTCTCAGGAGAAGGATAGCTACATACAAGCTTAAGGTCAGGCTGGGCTACATAGAAAACTCCTGGCCAACCTGAGCTACAAATTAAAACCACGTATTATAAAAACAAAAACAAAACAAATCAAGAAAAAAAAATGGCCAAGAATTTCTGTAGGGTGGGTCACTGCCCTGTTCCTGCAGATCTTAATGGTAGACTTCTGTCTTGCAAGCAAACCTCAGCTGTATGTGTGGAAGCAGGGGAGGGTTCGCTGGATGTTGTAAAGGCATCTTATAAATCCTCTCCAGCAAGAGATTTACCTCCTCCCCAACCTGCCCACCAGATGTTTCGGGAACCCCCAGAAACATGGCCTGCCACACATCTAAGCAAAGTCAAATCCATCTTCAACAGGGATGCTGAAGCCTGCGGATGGAATTAAAAGTTGCAACTTGCTGCTCCCTAGTGGTCAGTTAGATTAATAACTGTCATCTTGTGACATGCAGAACCTATAACCCAACTTTAGCCTAGCCAGTTTGGATGTTCACCTTGGGGAGGACCTAGGACTTACCACAGGGCAGGGAACCCTGACTGCTCTTTGGACTGGAGAGGGAGGGGGAGAGGAGTGGGGGGAGGGGGAGAAGGGTGGGAGGAGGGGGAGAAGGGTGGGAGGAGGGGGAGGGAAATGGGAGGCTGGGAGGAGGTGGAAACTTGTTTTTTTTTTTCTCCTTTTCTCAATAAAAAAAAAGTTAAAAAAAACAAAAAACACCTGCCTGCTGTGTCGCATGGCGTGATGTATGATATTGGGAGTGGCCGGTATGGGAAACAGTATAACGCAATCCTTGTTTGCAAAGAATTTACAGCTTAGTAGAAGATTCAAGATATTTATGCATCAAAAATTGGTTAGCAGGGCTGGAGAAATGGCTCAGCAATGAAGAGAACTTGCCATTTTTAGCAGAGGACCCTGATTCAGTTTCTAGCATCTACATGGCAGCTCACAGCCATCTGTAACTCCAACTCCTATTTTGGCTTCCTCAGGTACCCGGTACATATGTGGTACTCATACATACACACTTATACACATAAAATAAAAATAAACACATTTTGTTTGTTTGTTTGGCTGATTTGAGACAGGATTTCTCTGTGCAACATCCCTAGCTGTCCTGGAACTTGCTTTGTAGACCAGCTGGCCTTGAACTCCCAGAGATCTGCCTGCCTCTGCTGGGATTAAAGTCATGTGCTCCACACCAGGCTTAAATATATATTTTTAAGTAGACTGCCACGCACCCAAATAAGTCTTGAGGAGTAGAATATGGAAAGGCGTCTGTCCAAAAGCCTGTTAGCTCCACACCTACCCCTAGAATGTCCTAGCCTTTCTAGATCCCTCTCATTTCTCAGAGCCTTGCTCACCAGCCCCGCCTCACCCCCACCCTCCGTGTTCTTCAGCCCCTGGACTGTTTCATGCCATCAGCTTGGAGGATTCATCTCAGACCTTGTAGGGGACATCTTCCTCAGTAATCAGCACCCCCTCCTCCATGCCCTGCACCCCTGGTCTATGGTCATAGGGTGTCTAAACCCCTTTCCGTGGCTAAACTCCTAAAGACCAGGACTGCCGTATCATGGGGCAGGGGCTTCAGCTGGGGGAACAATGGGAGGTGAAAAAGAAAAGTTAAATGGTGGTGAGTGTACAGGACAGCTGGGGAGGGTGAAGCCTTTGAGGCTGTGTCCAGATGAGTGTATCTTTCACTCCTTCAAAGGTGGTGGAAAGTCCTGAGTGACTTTTAGTGGTACATGATCATCTCTCTTATACATCCTTCAAGGCACCAGGAATTCTTTCTTGGCTGCTCCGTTCCTGAGCCCTTGCCTCATCTCTGGATCCTATTGCAATGGCTTTTTTTTTAAAGCAGCATTTTTTTTATTAATTAATTTATTTATTAGGTATACAATGTTCTGTCTGCATGTATGTCTGTCCGCCAGAAGAGGGCGCCAGATCTCATAGATGGTTGTGAGCCACCATGTGGTTGCTGGGAATTGAACTCAGGACCTCTAGAAGAGCAGCCAGTGCTCTTAACCTCTGGGCAATCTCTCCAGCCCCTGCAATGCCTTTCTTTTTTTTTTTTTAAATATTTATTTATTTATTTATTATATATACAATATTCTGTCTGTGTGTATGCCTGCAGGCCAGAAGAGGGCACCAGACCTCATTACAGATGGTTGTGAGCCACCATGTGGTTGCTGGGAATTGAACTCAGGACCTTTGGAAGAGCAGGCAGTGCTCTTAACCTCTGGGCAATCTCTCCAGCCCCCTGCAATGCCTTTCTATATTCTACTCTTCAGGTCTTATTTTGGTGGATGCTAGTCAACTTAAAATATATATTTATTTTTCAGGCAGGGCTAGAAAGGTGCTAGAGATGCAGGCACCGAAGGGCAGGGCTGATGAAAGACCAAAGTGCAGCAAAAGGAATGGGGCTCAGACACAAACGCGGGGTGTCAGTTACACCAATACACGGTTCACCCTGAACTGGCATGGGGAGCAGAAGATTGAAGAAGATCAAAAGCATTTGAGATACTTCAGTTAGAACAGCTGGGCACATCCTGTACCCTGATCTAACTAAGTGCAAATCAACCACCCGAGAGCTTTTGAAAAGGCAGACTCACGCTCCTCAGGCGCTTGGTGGGCAGGACATGCCTTGTGCCCAGCACACAGCCACACTGCTGCTCCACAGACCCGGCAGGAGCAGCAAGGTTGCTACCTCTAAATGTAGTAGAAACCGGCTTTCTAGGAGCACGGGTAAGCAAGTAGGACCTTTGAGTGAAGGAATGAATGGATACCCCTTCATCCAGGTGACCACACGGGATGCATGACTTAGTAAGCAGGGGGCTGCTGAGGCCCAGATGTGGTGGAATCATAACAGACAGGGAGAGCTCAGAGGTGGGCATCTATCTGGAAAGCAAAATAATGCCTTTATCCTGTGTATATTGAGTTTGAGATAACAGTGGGGCTTCCAAGAGCAATGTCGAGATGAGACTGGGTGGAGATTCGGGAATACACTGACCCCAGGGACCTTTTTTGGGCAGTAACATTCTCTTCCCACTATCTCTGTACCTTTTGTTGTCTTACAGGTCATCGTTCCCTTCACTGAGTGTAAGTCCTTGAAGTCTTCTCTCCATCCTCCAGCTATCAAGCCCCCACTGTGCTGCAGGGGTGGGGGCCCCCCGTATGCCTAGGAGGCTCAGAAACCACCACATACCAGCCTGCCAAAAGCCTGAATGGCCTCACCTGGAACTTGGGCCCCAAGCACCAGGATCAGTTTCCCTAGTCTGACCATGACCATCCAGGAGTCAGGAAGCTGTCTGCTAGCTCACTCTGGGCTCGTGTCTCCAAAGTATCAGAAGCATTGTTACTTGTGCCCAAGAGAGAAGCGTTAGAGAGGCTGACTTTTACAGGGAGCCAGGCTAGGTGGAATTCCAGGCAAATTTGTCAAAGCTTTAGTGTGGTGCCTCCTATGTGGAACATGGACAATGAAGAGCTGTCTCAAGGGTTAATGTGAGGATTCCTGAGCCAGATTTGGGGGGGGGGGGAGATGCTTAGCAAAATGCTTCCCAGACAAAGACCTTCTCTATTCCCTCTTGGAGCCATAGGAGCAGGAGGGATAGCTCCATCAGCATAGGCCTTGTCTTGCAAGCATGAAGACTTGAGTTCAGTCTCAAAAGAGGACCTGAGTTTGATCCCTAGAACCCACAACCCACATTTTAAAAGTCAGGTGTGATGGTGGGCATTTGTAATCCGAGGATCAGAGAGTCAGAAACAGGCAAATTCCTGGGGCTCTGGTTCCATCTAGCCTAGTCTGGGCAAGTTCCAGATCAGTGAGAGACTCTGAGGAAGAATGCCCAAGATTGTCCTCTGGCTTCTACAGGCACACACACACACACACACACTGACACACAGAGAGACATGCATATAATAATAATAATGGTGATGATGATGATGGTGATGATGATGATAATAATAATAATAGAGCAGAAAAAAGAAAGACTAAAGAAGTGGAGCAGTTAGCACTCTGCCTGTCTTTTCCTGCAGCAGCCACGGCCCCCACCCCACTCTGGTCTAAGCATAGCGAGTCCTCTGCCTCCAGGAAGCCCATGCGGGCCTGGGTCCACTCAGCTCCTGCCCTCCTACCTACTACTGTGCAGAGAATGTGGATCGACTATTCCTCACTTACCGGCATGCATCTTTGCAGAGTTTGATGGGGCGCCGGGCGGATGACAGCGGGAACGGTTGTGATCACTGGCGGAATCCTAGCTACAGTGATCCTCCTCTGTATCATTGCTGTCCTGTGCTACTGTAGGCTCCAGGTTAGTTCCACGGGCTCTAGGCAGAGGCTGGGAGGCCACCAGCAAGCCGCTTCTCCATAATGGGGGCAGAAAGTAGAGGTACACTTTGGAGGCAACAAATCCGAAGCCGTAAAACATGAGAAGCATAAGTCAAGGAAGCATAAAATTGAGCGCGTTCAGAAGGGAGCTGTGCGCCTCACACACGCGCGCCCGTACACACGTTCCCTGCACCCTACAGAGGCACTGGAGTGTCCTGGGAAGATGCAGGGCTCTCACGTTCATCTCTCCAGTTTATAGGGACTGGTAGGGAAGTCACCATCCTGGGAGACTCTGAAAGCTGCTGCAGCAGCCTCCAGCCTTGTTCTTGCATTGGTGTATGAGCCTTCCTCTCTGCTTCCCTGCCCACCGGGACACATTGAGAAAGAGAAGGACTGGCTGGGTAAAGCTGAGAGTAAATGGGATGCGGGTCTCTGAGGCCGGAGTATATTTATTCCCCATTGACTAACAGAGTGGCTGGCACGAGGTATTCAGCGGAAGCTGGGGGAGGGTTGTTCCTGTGCATGCTAACTAGTGATGGAGGAGGGGGAGCTGGACTGCCTCTCAAGCACCCCTTTTCTTTCTCCCCAGTATTACTGCTGCAAGAAGAGTACAGACGATGAGGATGCCGAGGAGGAGGAGGAGGAAGAGGAGGAACACGACCTTTCCATCCATCCCCGAGCCCCCACCTGCAATGCCTGCAGCTCCCAAGTCCTGGACGGCAGAGGCAACCTGGCACCTCTCACCAGCGAGCCCTGCAGCCAGCCGTGTGGGGTGGCCAGCCACTGCACCACTTGCTCCCCATACCGCACCCCCTTTTACATACGGACAGCTGACATGGTGCCCAATGGGGGTGGAGGCGAGAGGCTCTCCTTTGCCCCTACACATTACAAAGAGGGGGGGACCCCATCCCTCAAATTGGCAGCACCTCAGAGTTACCCGGTGACCTGGCCAAGTTCTGGGCATGAGGCCTTCACTAATCCAAGGGCTATTAGTACAGATGTATAATCCTTTCACCCCAATCTGCACACACCCAACACTGTCCCAGCAGGAGCAATGAAGTGGAGGGGACCCTCCAATAGCCCCCCCCCCCCAGGAACCATCTCAGTTTCTCTGGCTTCATTAGCAGAAGGTTCACTAGGATGTAAGCTAGTCAATGCATCAAGGACCAGGCAGGATCGACGGCCCAGAAGTGGCGCCCCGAGAAGCCTGCAATGTCACCAGTTTCTCTCCGACTCCTCCCTCTAACAGTCAGCTCTACCACAACCCCCAGTAAGCCCACACCCTTTGCTTCGCCGGGCTGTGTGAAGGAACACCAGGGAAAGCCTAAGCAAAGGCTCTGGAGGCTTCCGGGGACCGTGGGAAACGAAGTGGGCATGGACACAAAGGGGAAGGTGAGGACTAGACATTCCAGAATTTGGGAGGAGAAAGAGGAAAAAGTGTTAAAGGAGCCCCCAGTTTTGCTGGCTGGAATTCATCCATGAGGTGATTTACACTCTATTTTACTTTTTAACTTTGGTGGCCTGCTCAATAGGTATGAGTTCTGAGAACACCACATCTGCTATCTCGCCCCTGCTCATGAAACACATCAAATTAATGCTAAGTGCCACAGCACACAGCTGTTTATGGGGACCACATCAAGGAGCGTCTATACAACCTTGTCTCTCCCCCCAAGTCCTCTCTTATGCCCCCTGCTAGAGAACCTTCCCCATTTCAATCGATGCAGTCCGATAAACCTAGTGAGCAGATCTCACTGGTTACCCCTGTTCCTCCACGCTTAACCACAGATGTAGATTCAGCCCTGTGAGGGTGTGTGCATGCCCATTCCCTCCCATGTACTTATCACCAGCTGCAGAGCAGAAGGGTCCAGGGTCCCAACAAGAGCTGGACCAAAAGGCAATTAAAGTGATCAATCTCCATGGCAAACAGAAGGAGGAATCTGAGGCAATGCTGCAGCAGTTAAGTTCCCATGCACCTGTGCAAGCTCCTTTAGAGGCTAGTGCACCCCTTGAGCATCCATCTGTGATGTGACATTAAGAACAGAACCATTTTATCCCATCAGGGGATGTAGCCTTTCCCCTGAGTTCTGGGCCGGGGGTCTCCTGAAGTTTGGCTGTGTCTTACATTTCATGCTTGCTTGCCCTCCTTTGGCCCCCTAACTTTCCAGCCTCATGATGATGGATGATGAGCTATTTTTCTGTCTTACTCTAGTCCCCTAGTCCCCACACCTCCCACTTGTAACTAACAGCGGCCTTAAGGGTTTGTGTTGTTTGTTTTGTTTTGCTTGGGTGTTTTGTTTTGTTTTAGTAAGTATGCCTGATAAATTCTCCAGTTACCTCTGTGGCTCAAGGGTCACTGTCCCCACTTCTAAGGGTGTATAGTTAATGCCTGCACACTCCCGACTCACAGAATGCTGTTGAAGGTGGGCCAGCAGAAGGGCTGGTCTTTCTCCTGAACCCTTGGTTGGTTGGTTGGTTGGTTGGTTGGTTGGTTGGTTGGTTGGTTTGACAGAGTAGGCTGCACCTCACATCTACAACTGTAAATAACAAACATTTAGCTAAGAAGCAGAAGACAATCTCTGACCATATTTTGTTCACTTGTTAGACCTGGGACCAGTCAGGTAACTTCACTGAGACTTCCATTTGTCTCCAGTGAAGCAAAGCTTGCCAAAATGGACTCTAAATATCCCTTATTGTTCCACAAATCCAAGATATTGTAGAAAGATCTGCTAGTCAGCTCTTTCCTCTCACCTTTATCCTGGCCAGGGTTGGATGGATCCTGGATACAGGAGTATTTGATGTGGGCTGGAAACCACAAAAGGGGTGGGAGAAAGCCCACGGGATTAGGAGGGGAAATTATTTCAGTTGTTGGTAAAAAGCAAACAAATCAGGCTAGGGCTAGAGCTCAGTTGGTTGAGTTCTTGTCAGGTCTGCACGAAGCCCCGTTCCAATCTCCAGCGCCACTAAAACCCACCTCTGATTCCTTCACTCGGGAGGTAGAGGAAAACAGATGGTAGTTGTTCAAAGTCATCCTGGGCTATATTGCAAGTTCAAGGTCACCCTGGGCTCCGTGTCTCAAAAACAACAACAAAATGTTTGCCCAACCCTCTAAGGAGCAACCTCAACCGCCAAGCGCTGCAGAGGAGGGCACAGCAGCAGGGCTGATGAGCTGTGTCTCCTGGTGCAAAGGGATGGCTCCTCAGCTCCCGTGCACCAATCCGCCATCTGCCCATCCTGGGCCAGGCGCAACCCCCTGACTTGCTGCTGGGCCTAGCAGCTCTCCCCACTTCCTCACCACCAGCCCAGTGCCTTGCTCTCCTGTGGTTTCACAGCTGTTATTTCCTCCACCCCGAATGGCAGTGCCACCATCATACCAACGCCTGTGGGGAAAGCAGGACAACCCAGCCGACTCAGCAGACTGTAACCCACTTCCGGACTCGGGGGCTCTGGGTACAAAGCCCCCTTTGCGCGTCTCCTGGAGCTCTCTCAGCTTAACCCGCAAGTCCAAGTCTGGATCCCACGTGACAAAGGGGGGAGGAATACACCCTTCCCTTCAGCACACATCATTCAAGGCACAGGCTCCACCGTAGGCTGCGGGTCACCTGCCCACCTCATCTCACTGTAGCATCGTGGTCTCCATCCTGGGGAAGGGAAAGCTCACCCGTGCGGTCCTTTTAGCTGTGGAGTCTGCCCATGAGACACACTCTGTACACTTCAAACGGAACCCTGAACAGGAAGAGAAGGAGGGGGAGCCAGGGAATAGCTGGTCCTCTCCACCATCCTTCTCTGCATCACTCCGCTGCGGCTGCAGATTTCCTGTCGTGCATCTTTGATAACTTGGAACACAACCAAGTGAATGTCAAAATAAAGGAGAAATTTTAAATAAAAAACCTCAGAAGTATTTCCATCCCTCCGCCGGGGAGAAGGGCCAGCCCTGTATGGCTTTAAAATGAACGCTCATTCGAAAACCCAAAACATCCATTTTCAACTCTGAAATCTTCTCAGTTCCTCTCCAAAGCCCTCCCTTTAGCGCAAGGCTCTTTGCTGAGTCAGCATCCACAACCAAGGAGGATTTCCTGTTTCTTGGGGAAGGGGCTTTTTAAAGAAAGAGACCACAGTTCCAGCTGAAGTGCCCAGACGCGGCGAACTTTGCTGCTATGAGAGCGAACACACCCGGACAGGAAGTGTGATTGGTTTCTATTCTCACTCAAGGGGTGATCATTTCCCCCCCCCCATTGCCTAGAGTCCTCGCAGTCACATTCAATTGGCTAGAATTAGCGCACAGGAACTGAAGGAGGAAGGGGAGGAGCCATTGCTCCAAGGGGTCAGGGGTCACTCTTCCAGGGCCATAGAGTTCCCAGAATACAGAACGGCCTTTGTGTAAACAAATATTTTGCTGGGTGGAAAGGTTATTAAAATTTTTTTGATTAAAAGTCTTGTCTGGGCTGGTCGGTGGTGGCGCACGCCTTTAAACCCAGCACTTGGGAGGCAGAGGCAGGCGGATCTCTGTGAGTTCGAGGCCAGCCTGGTCTACAGAGTGAGTTCCAGGACAGCCAGGGCTGTTTCACAGAGAAATCCTGTCTTGAAAAACAAAAAAAAAAAAAAAAAAGAAACAAAACAGACAAGACAAGAAAGTCTTACTTGGTGAGGAGATAAAAAAGATGTGAATTTCTTGTCCTAAACAAACGTTTTGCAGTATCTATTTGGCAGTTCTTACAGGTATCTTGGCTAGAATGACGAATTCACCAGAGAGCAGTACAACTGATGCCCCCCAAGCTTTCCAGGCCCGCGGTTTCCCCACCCCTCTACTTTCGGGTCTAATCATTGTTTCTCAGAAGACTTCACAGTTACACAACCAGTCCTGGGTGGCATGGGAAGGGGAGAAGGGAGACAGTTGCAGGGACTACAAAACAAGAGAGAAGGAATGGAGGCTAGGGAGCAGATAACTAGCTTTGTACGCAGACAGGAAAGGTCAGGGATGAAGCTGGGAGAGGTGCGTGCCTTTAGTCCCAAGGTACGAGCCTTTAGTTCCAAGGTACGTGCCTTTAGTCCCAAGGTACGTGCCTTTAGTCCCAAGGTACGTGCCTTTAGTCCCAGCACCAGGAAGCAGAGGCAGGCAGGTATCTGAGTTCAAAGGTAGCCTGGTCTACAGAGTGAGCTCTACAGAGAAAAACTCTGTCAAAAAAAAAAAAAACCGAAATAACAACGAAAGGTCAGGGATGAAATCAGTGTGTCTGCGTTTCTGTTGCTCAAGGGTTTAGAAGAGAAGCTCTCTCCACCTCAGGGCCATGACTCTTACTGGGTGGGCTGCAGCTGGGTGGCCAAGGCATTCCTGTGCTGAGACAGAGCCTTCCTCCAGTATCAGCTGAAGTGCAGTTTTGCCTCAGGGAGCATCTGTCTTCTGTTCTGCTAACGTGGTTCAGTTCTGAGAACCAGAGAGCCTCAAGCACATTTTTATGGCGCCTGGCTCCCATCACCCTAGGACACCCTGAAAGGAAGAACTGCTCGGCCGTTTGGCCTCAGGCTTGTGGAGCAACCATCTGGGCTCAGTTGTTTTTTTCCATGACAATCCTTGACGTTTCTCAGACTCAGACCACTGCTCTGTCCAGGTGTAAGTGGGAAGAAGAAAGGGGATGAGAGAAACGATGCCCTGTGTCTCAGGAGAGAAGCGATGCCCCGTGTCTCAGGTGGGAGGACTAGGTGGGAAGGCGGGAAGGCCCTGAGAATAGTAACCTGCAGGCCAAGTGCTAGATTTCCAAGGCAACTTAGAAACAGGAGGCAAAAAAGAGGCCAGTGTGACCTGGGGGGTAGGGAGGATAGGGAGAGGTATGGGAGGAGCGGGGATAGACACCGCAGGAAAGGGGAAAGGTGTCTGCCAAAAGGGAAGGAAAAACTCTGGGTTTGTGTAGGAGGTTTGGGAACTGGGAAGTTAAAATGCCAGGGTACTTGCAAACCTTCAGTTTCTCCTCCTGGAGTTGTTTATCCAGAGGAGGCTGCTTTATCTTCAGAATCTACCTGCCCAGGCTATCAGGATGCGGGTCATAGTGGGAGACTGAGTTTGAAAGGGCAGTGAGGGGAAAGACCTGGAGTTTCAACACAGGGGCAGGAGTTTCAACAAGCCTTAGGCCCTAAGGCTTAGGGGGGCGGAGAGTTACTTGGTTAGGGGTTATTCCAACCCTGTAGAGTCCTGATGCCTCTGTAGATCTGTGACGTTATTGTTCAGGAAATATCCTGATGTATTCAGGACAAAAAAAAAATTCTGATGATTGATTAAGAAGGATAGTTTCTCATCAACTCCTCTTTTGAGTAGCCCTGACCTGTTCCAGAAATGTAAAGAATGAATATCCTGCCATGACCCTTGCCCCAACCATGGAGGAAGTCATGTCTCCTTCTGTAAGACTCCCCCCACAATCCTGGGTGTACCGGCTCCCAAAGGGGTCCTTTACCAAACCTGAGAGAGACTTGATTCAGGCCTCAGCGAAACATTTGGCCACCATACTTCCTCTCTGTCTTGTCACCGTGGGCCCCATCTCCCACATACCAACCACATCCAGAGTCCAAATAGGGGTGACAGTTCCCATCTCCCCAGGATGGGCACCAGCTGCTAGGTGGCTGAGTCGCCCTGAGTACCTGGGGTACCTAAAATGACATGCGCCTGTGCTGGGGACAGAGAAACCGCAGGCTCCAACTCTGGTCCTTTGGCACAAACCGAACTTCTGTCCACTCCTGTCAACCCACATCAGGGCAGCCCAGGGCTTCTGCCTTGGACCTACTGGGAAATTCACTCTTGCTCCTAGACCTAACAAAAGAGAAGTCCCCTTGAGAGAGTCAATAAACGTTTTAAAATTAAACTAGAACCCCCACCTTCTCCTAAGGTCCTCTGAACTCCATCCCCAAACCAAAAGAATGATTAATAAGATCCATGTCTCAGGCTTCCAGCTATTGAGAATCTCACGGTCCTATTGGTCCTCAACCTGAATTCTCTCCCCTTCCTCTCTGCCCTGTTCATGAGGAGAATGAGTCAGGTACTGAGAACAGTCAATGGGGAGGAGCTAAGAGGAAAAAAATTAAGAATTTTTAAAAATAAGGCCAAGGGGTGGTGGCACACACCTTTAATCCCAGAACTCGGGAGGCAGAGATAGGCGGATCTCTGTGAGTTCGAGGCCAGCCTGGTCTACAAGAGCTAGTTCCAGGACAGGCTCCAAAGCTACAGAGAAACCCTGTCTCAAAAAAAAAAATGTTAAAAATAGATGAACATTGTAACATAAAACATGAGATAAAAAAATTTCAAGGTTGCACACACCAATAAAAAATAAATAAAAGTCTCCGGTTAGGGACTAGAGAGATAGTTAAGTGGTTACATATGCTGGTGGTTCAGCACCCACATGGTGTTCACAACTGTCTGTAACTTCAGTTTAGGGATCTGATGGTCTCTTCCGGCCTCTGTAGGCACTACACGGACATGTACACAGATATACTTGAAGGAAAAACATTCATACACAAAAATAAAACAAAGATAAATCATTTTATAAGTCTTCTGTGGAGGGCCTGGAGAGATGGCTCAGTGGGTAAGAATGCTTGTTGTGCAAGCATGAATACCTGGGTTCAAATCCCCAACACCCATGTAAAAAGCCTGATGTGGCTGAATGTGTGCCTGCAAACTTAGCACTGAAAGGGCAGAGCTAGAAGGAGTTGAAAGAGAATGACAGAGCAGGCTAACCAGCATCCTTCTCCTACCTCTGTGTGCACAGATAGGCACACACACGGGCACATGTCTAACCCTCAACACACACACACGAGAGAGAGAGAGAGAGAGAGAGAGAGAGAGAGAGAGAGAGAGAGAGACCGACCTACGGAGAGAGAATAAGGAAAGGCCAGAAATGAAGTCTTTCCAATTTATTCCTTATTATGTCACTTTGATTTTGTTGCTGTTGTTTTGAGTCAGGGATCACATGTAGCCCAGGTGGCCAGGCTGGATGGTGCACGCCTTTAATCCAACGCTCAGGAGGCAAAGGCAGTTGGTTCTCTGTGAGGTCGAGGCCAGCCTGATCTATGTATCCAAGTTCTGGGACAGTCAGAGCTACATAGACTATCCCCCAGACACAAACAAACAACCCTTGTAGCTGAACACAACCTTGAACTCCTTGACCCTTGCCTCTGCTCCTGCGCTAGGATAGCAAGCCTACACCTTCATGTCCTGTTTTTTTTTTCTTTTGTCAAGTTACATTCCAAAAGATTTTTCCAAGTAAACTTATATAAAAATCATCCCTGCAAAGTGGGAGTGTGTGCTGGGTCATCTGATACAGACTCACGTGGGAAAGATGTGTGGCATGAGCCAAGCGTGGCCCCGTGGGCACATCAGTGGTGCTGGAGAAGCTGCACTGCTCACGGCTCTGGATCTGGAGTAAGAGCATGACCGGCACTAAGGCTCTCTGATACCTCTAAACAGGAAGAGAGACAATATTCTCACAAGACCAAGGGCAGAAGACCTGGCTGGAAAACCAGGTATCAGACAACACGGGCCTGTACTGTATGAATTAAAAAATATTTCTTGTGGTGGTAAAAGAAAAATCACCCCAAATGTGTATTTTGGACCATTCTGAAGTGTACATAGGATGCCATGACACAGGTTTACAATATTGAGAGACCATCACCACGATTGTTCCAAAGCTGAAGACAGTTCTACAGCCTACCCAGATGGGCAGAGCAGGGAGACCTGAGCAGGCAGCTTACTGAAGATGAAAACGGAGTTGGGGTTAACAATGGACAGACTCAGATATGGATATAGGACAGAAAGGCCCAGAAGACAAGCTGGAAGTGCAAGGCTGTTTGCCAGACAGTAGTGGGATAGGACCTCCTTCCTAGTCTGTGGGCACACTGAGGTCCCGGGCTATGGGGTGGATGACAGATGGCTCAGGCAGGCC